CTTTGTGGTGTGTGGGTCACATGCTGGTGGGGGAGAGAGTGTTTTGGGCTTGGTTGCAGCCCATCTAGCTGGTGGGGTGGGGGCATGTATTTTTACAAACTCTTCTAGTGTTTGCGTTCCTCCATCAGAGTAGGAGGGAACTGAGGAATGGTAACCTGTTGAGCTTCTGCCTGTAGTTCCTCCTTGGGCGTGTTATCTTGGGTGGCAATGGATGAAGTGATCTGGAGGCAGTGGCAGCAGTCAATGGGCAGCTGTGAGAGGCAGCCAAGCGCAGCTGCTCCTTTGCCTTCGCCTCTCGCGGTTGCCCATTGACTGCTCCTCCGCCTCCAGCAAGGGTAAAAATTGAGGGTCGTCTTATACATGGGGGGTCATATACAGTGGTGCCCCGCATAACGACGTTAATCTGTTCTGGATTAATCGTCGCTATCCGGAAACATCGCTATACAGATAGGAAAACCCCATAGGAACGCATTAAACTCCATTTAATGCATTCCTATGGGGTGAAAACTCACCGTTGAGCGAAGATCCTCCATAGCGCTGCCATTTTCGCCGCCTCGGTAAGCAAGGGCAGTGCGCGAAAATGCTTGCGGCAGCCATTTTGGTTACCCGGCGGCCATTTTGGAACCGCCGATCAGCTGTTCTAAAAACATTGCAATGTGAAGATCGGTAAGCGAAATGCTTACCAATCATCGCGATGCGATGTTTTCCCTATCTAAACATAGCAATGCGATCACATTAGCAATCACAAAAAATAGATCACTATGCGGATTCGTCGTTAAACGGTGTGCTCGTTATGCGAGGCACCACTGTACATGCAAAAATACGGTATCCTATGCTATAGGAGCATGCTTTATGACTTCTTGCTCCTTTGCATAACAAAAGCACAATAAATTGTGTCCATTAAAATTGTGCTTAATTTGCATAATCCATATGGTCTGGATTATTTGGCGACCTGATATAGAACATGATGGCTTTTAAAAAACACCAGGTATACACAGCTCTGGAGGATAAAGAATAGATGTGGCCATTTATCAGAACAGTCAACAATCAATCAGTCAACAGGGTAATAATGAGGGGGTCAGGCTAGCATCATAAAGTGGTAATCTATCTGATTGCCTCATTTAGTATCTAAATAACATTCTGTGTACACAGTTTACTGCTTTTCAAACACATTTTCCACAGCTGGTGAGCATGCTTTTTATGTAACCATAAACCATTCTGCAAACATTACTTGGGAGCTGCTTCTTCATCAGAAACATAAATGAAACTGCACACAGATTTAAATGATTACCGCTAGATAGAAAGAGGTCAATCTATCTTTACAGTGAATCTGGGTTTTCTTTTTTCTTAACCTCACATTTAAATGTTTTGTTTTTATTCAACAAAATTATTTCTCTTATTCAGAGTTTGCAAAAGTTACAAGCCGCTCTGAACATGTGATTTTACTGCTCTGAAGAAAAGGCTGTGGTTAAACAGAAGCGATCCCTGATTCCTTGTTTCATGGAGGTTATTTTCAGCCTTTAGATTTCTGAAAAACTTCTTCAATGTAAAAGTATATCAGAATAGTGAGTTGTGTAAACAAATCCAACAAGAAGTAAGAAACTGGGCCACATTGCCCATGATGTTTTGATTTGCATGTCTGTAAATACAATCCCTTGTTATGCAGACAGATTGACTCTGCTAGGAACAAGGTTTGGGTGCACCCCCTCCTGAAGATATACTTAAAGGACTACTCATTCTTGATATTTTCTGAAGCCAGCCATACAGTCCAGCATGCCCCCCCAGTTGTGAACCATTACTCTGGCATAAACTATACATTATCCATTCATATACTGTATAGGGATTTAGGCATACATTTGCAACTGAGCAGTCATACTTCCAAATGCAACTTCTTATTGTCTCCTGATGGCCAACCAAAAACATAGCAATCTGATTTGCAAACTACAGGAGGTATGAATAAGATCCTATGATAACCAGCAGACACTTTCAGCACTTAAGGAATTCTGTCTTTTAATGAAGGTCTATCTATAAAGTACAGTATAGGTTGATCCTTAATATAATAACGTAAACTGTGCAGGCAAAATAAGCTAGAATCCCAGGGACGCTTCCTAGGAAGTCACTTCTACTGGAACAGGTAGTTAAGTCACACCCAGTCCTATTCTACTGGACACTTGTTACCTCTTTGCGTGGGTTTCAGTCTAGATGATAAACAGAAACTCTGTTTCTATTCTTAGCAGAATGGAATTATTTGTAAGTAGCTCCAGCAGGTGCCTTGAGATTGCCCTACTTTGGCTAAAAAAACATTTACATCCCATTTCACGTGACATCTTAGTACTGAGGCTGCGCTGTCAGTCTTTTTAGTCTCCTTTAAATATGTATGATTTAAATGGATCATAAAGCATCTTGCTGTAAACTTGATTTTGTATTCATGTCTGCTCATTGCAGTAAACCAGTTAGTTGCTCCTCTTGCTTTTGAAATCATCATGATAGTGCATCATACTAATCACTATATCTGAACTATAACACTATTATACAGGATTTTACTTGTTTTATTTCTTGCCAGCCCCTTCAAAGGATCATGTCTTGCCACAAAGCTGTCTCTATTGGCCACAAATATCAGGTCTTGCTTTGGACATTTTCACAGGTTTTTGCATCTGCCATTCTTTTTCCTATGAACACACCTGGCTTATGCCATTGTTTCACTGTGCTTTGCCTTTATGAATTTTTGATGAATTGTGCTTTGAGATACATGTTTTAATTTGGGGAAAAAACAATTTGAAGTGGCCTTTTACACACCTTCTCTTATGCAATGTCAGATCCACCTATAGGTCTGGACTAGCCTGTGCCTAAATTTGTTCTGGTCATTTTGTGTTGTGTTACTTTTTGTAATGTCTGAATTTCTACGACATAACAAGGAAGTTATGGGACCAATCAAACTTAGCTTCACTGAATGGAGTTGACTCTCTTATTCTTCAAAGGAACAACTGTGATGATCTCACAATCATTGTATTTGTACCGTGGGGATTCTAGGCTCTGAAAGTCCTTACCTTCTGGTGGACCAAAGGTTGGCAAACACTGATCTATGCCTATCTGTGTATTTGGAATGGGGTCAGCAGACAGAACAGGCCTTTCTACCTGTTGGTCTCACAGTGAACTATACCCCTTTTGAAAAATAGTATGCCACAATTGGAAACCATTTGCATGGCAGAATATCACAAAGAGCAATGCCAAATGTGGAACTCTGGCTTCTCCTATGTCACAATGCTGCTCTATGATTCACCACAGTACCATGTGTTCTGACTGGCAGAAGCTGCCAATACCATAAGAAAATATTTTTCTGAAACCTAGACTAGAGATGGAGGTATTCATATACGAATATGAATATCCCTGCACAAGTGGACATAATGAGGGTCCACTCACCGTTCTGCCACTGCTGCGACCTCTGCGAAGCCTTCCAATGGCTCCGGAGACTGCATTTGACGAGCCAGTCTTCGACCTAGCAGAGAGGCTTGTCATCCCACTTCCTGCCAGGAGTGGCAAGCCAAATGTGATCTCTGGAGCCATTGGGAGGCTCCATGGAGGTTGTGGCAGCAGCAGAATGGTGAGTGGACCATCCAGCCCCATGGGGTTGGACCCTCATTATGTCCACCTGTGCGGGGGTATTTGTATTCGTATACGAATACCCCCATCTCTAGCCTAGACTTCACTTTTGACACAACATAGATTGAATCCAGTATCTATTGTTTAAATATTTCACTGGGGGTGAAGGAGAAACAAAATAAAAACAGATCTGACATCTTAATAAATATGGAAATTTCACAACATATATCATTTTAAAAAGAAAGTAAACCAAAAGTAACTATTGAATTGAGTTGAGCTGATGATTTAAGAGAAGTGGTTTTAGATTCTAGACCTAATCAAATCAAGTGCTTAAGTCTGCAACAACCCACCTGATTCCTGTGACAATTGGAAAAAAATGTAGTTAAGTACATTTAACAGTGTGGTTACATTACTGAAATACTCCTGAATATGTGGCAGTATTATTGGAACTGATGTAAAGTCATGCGGCAGTCATATGATATTTGAACTGTGTGTTCCCTTGGGGCAATGTTTAATCCAGTGTTTTTTAAAGAGCTGCACCAATGTTGGGTATTACACTCACAATTTATATCATGTTTATTCAAATTGTTGCATTTCCAAGACATCTGTGGATCTTCACTTATTTATTTTAATATTTCAAAGTGACATAGCGCTATAACAATGCAAAGATAAACAGCAGGCTAGTGGGGCAAGGGAGCCTGCCCAATGGCTGTTTGGCAGGCAGGTGGGAAGCTCACTGAACAACTAATCAGTGCACCGTGGCTGGCTGGAAGCAGGAGGGTGGAACAGCTGCTCTGTGCACTGCTGAGGGAAGGAGCTCACACTGGCTACTGCAGAGAGAAGGTGAGAGAAGGTCATAGCAAGAATACATACATACATACATACATACATACATACATACATACATACATACATACATACATACATACATACATACATACATACATACATACATACATACATACATACGTGCGTACGTACGTACGTACGTACGTGCGTACGTACGTGCGTACGTACATACATACATACTTTTAAGAATGTGTGTATATGAAAGAGAGAGAACACACACACACACACACATGAGGCCTGTTTATTCTAATGCAGGCTTGCGTCTGACCCCATTTTGTACAATGTAAAACATATTCGATTTTATTTTTGTAATTGATGACAGGGAAACACAGTCTTCGTTTGCACATAAGAATTCTCAGGAAAATAGCTGAGGATTTGAGTGCCTGGAGGGAAAATATTGTAAGAGCAGGAAATATATGTTTCTCCTGAGTGTGATTTGGCCCCTCTTGCATTTTGCTCTAATTTTTACAATTTTTAAAAACAATGCAATGCCTTGTGTGAAAAGTTATAACGCTTTACATTACCAAAAGCACAAGAATGAGAAACATTACCTGTTGCTTCCACCATTCCTTCTAGGATTACAACTATTTCTAATTCCTCTTTGGGTAACTGGGCTTTGGAAATCTCCCAGAAGGGACTCTGTTGGTTTATTTCATGGCTGATGATCAGTGGTGAAACCAAAAAGAGGCGATCATCCCCAGTATAATATCCCACATTGATATCTGTCTGGTTGAGTGGAATAAATTCTCCCTCTTTTGTCTGTTTAGACTTGATCAACTTAGCTCTTATTGATGCTTCCACAATGTGCGAATTCCTAAGGTCCCCAACTCGGAACATCAGACACAATTTTCCATCTCGCATGGAAATGACAGCATTTGTAGAAAACACCAAGGTTTCTGCTCTCTTCTTAGGCTGGGATATTTTTACAAACATGCAGCCAACCATGAAAGCATTAACGATAGATCCTAAAACCGACTGAATTAAAAGCAGGATAATTCCTTCAGGACATTTGTCTGTGATGACCCGATAGCCATACCCAATGGTGGTTTCTGTCTCTATGGAGAATAAAAAGGCTGAGACAAACCCATTGAGGTTACTGACGCAGGGGGTCCATTTCTTATCCCCTATGTGCTCCATATCTCCTCGGATATATGCAATTAGCCACCATATGAATCCAAAGAACAGCCAAGTCACAGTATAAACCATGACAAATATCAACAGGTTGAATCTCCATTTGAGGTCAACCAAGGTAGTAAAGATGTCAGTCAGGTAACGATAAGTCTCTCTCACGTTTCCATGATGGACGTTGCACTTTCCATCCTTCCTAACATACCTCTGGATTCTTCTCTTAGTACATTCTTTGCTTAAGTGCTTTGGCAGATCTTCTCTGGCTTGTTTGGGCAACTTTGGTGGAAGTATTGTAACAGGGCTCTCCACGTCCTGCTCCATTGAGTCTCCTTCCAGCACATTAGCTGTTATTAAAGAACAAAGGAACATAATTACTGATAGTGCATACAGAAAATTGATTCATTAGACTCTTAATAATTCACCCTACTAGCTACAAGACACAACTGGAGTTTTTTCACAGTGCTAATAAAGCATTAATGATGAGAGGAACAATAAAAGATCCAGGAATTGGCTGTAGGAATAGTAATAGTTTATAGCATGTTACTGATAAAGTTAAAATTTTAAAGAATGATATGTGTTGCTGTCATTTATTGCAATTACTTTATCACAATTTTATCTCACTCTTCCTGCAGAAACATCAGGGAGATACAGTACATGTAATTCCTGGCTCCATATTTTACAGCAGTCTTGTAAGCTAGGTTGACAGATGTTGACATACCCAAGGCCACCTATGAAGTTTTATGTGTGGATTTAAAGGTAAAGGTAAAGGTTCCCCTTGACAATTTTTGTCCAGGCGTGTTCGACTCTAGGGGGCAGTGCTCATCCCCGTTTCCAAGCCATAGAGCCAGCGTTTTGTCCGAAGACAATCTTCCATGGTCACATGGCCAGTGCGACTTAGACATGACCGCCGAAGAATTGATGCCTTTGAATTGTGCTGCTGGAGGAGGCTCTTGAGAGTCCCCTGGACTGCAAGGAGAACAAACCTATCCATTCTGAAGGAAATCAAATCAGAGTGCTCAATGGAAGGACAGATCCTGAAGCTGAGGCTCCAGTACTTTGGCCATCTCATGAGAAGACTCCTTGGAAAAGACCTTGATGTTGGGAAAGTTTGAAGGCATGAGGAGAAGGGGACGACAGAGGATAAGATGGTTGGACAGTGTCATCGAAGCAACCAAGATGAATTTGACACAACTACGGGAGGCAGTGGAAGATAGGAGGACCTGGCGTGCTCTGGTCCATGGGGTCACGAAGAGTTGGACATGACTAAATGAATCTGCGAATAGGTAACATGGAGTCCCCAGATGTTCTGAGACTACAACTCCCAGCATTTTCAGCTACCAGCTATACTGGCAACAGATCGGAAATGCAGCTCAACAATAACCGGAGAGCCATGTTTTGTCCTTCGTTTGCCAAGTCCAACCACTACCAGCTATACTGGCAACAGATGGGAAATGCAGCTCAACAATAACCGTGTTTTGTCCTTCGTTTGCCAAGTCCAACCCCTTGATCTTGATCTCACACTGGTCTCTTGGGAAATGGCAGCTGAGGAAATGAGAGAAAAAAAGATAATGTTTGGATCCCGGGCTTTCAGCACAGCAGAAACAAAGACCAGTAGTTTTGCGGATTCATGTTATTAATTTTCGATTTAAAAACATAAAGTGCTGGTTTAAACTTTTGTGGATAATTCTTCTCTTTTAGAGTTGGGAGCAGAATAAATCCACAGAGGAACACAGTGAAGTAACAATGATCACTTATTGGTACACAAAGAAGCATGTTTATCTACACTTGTTGTGTGCTGTCAAGTAATTTCTGACTGATGGTGACCTTACAAATTATTATTGGTAGACAAAGAAGCATGCTTATCTACACTTGTTGTGTGCTGTCAAGTCATTTCTGACTGATGGTGACCTTACAAATTAATGAAGCTGATTGGATAGCTCAGTGCATCAGCAGCGTATTAGGTATCTTGCTCCAGAGCCAGAGTCTGACCTTTCACTGTGCCTTCCATAAGAAGAGCCATCCTATGTAGCCTTGGAACAGTTGCGACAAAGAAGCATGCTTATCTACACTTGTTGTGTGCTGTCAAGTCATTTCTGACTGATGGTGACCTTACAAATTAATGAAGCTGATTGGATAGCTCAGTGCATCAGCAGCGTATTAGGTATCTTGCTCCAGAGCCAGAGTCTGACCTTTCACTGTGCCTTCCATAAGAAGAGCCATCCTATGTAGCCTTGGAACAGTTGCACAGTCCCATAGCAGCCTCAGCAGGAAGGAATGGTAAAGACTTCTGAGTACTCTAGTACCACTATAGGGTAGTGTATTCTACACCTAAAAATCCATGGGAAAGGTTATCACAATGACACATAATTATTTAATATGAATTAAAGACATCCCAAAAGCTTCTAATGAGAATTCAGGCTTGATTTTCTCTAGATCAGGGGTCTCCAAACTACAGCCCACGGGCCACATCCAGCTCGCCTTGTGTTTTTATCTGGGTTGGACATAGGAAGAGGAGGTGGGAAGCTGTTCAATGAGCTTCCCACCTGCCTGCTAATCAGCCATTGGGCAGGATCCCTTGCCCCACTTGCCTGCTGTTTATCTTTGCAAAGACAGCAGGGCTGGGGGATCGTTTGGGTCCCTCTTCCCTCCTCTTCCTAAGCCTGAGTGGGGATAGGAAGAAGAGTGAAGCCTTATCTAAGCAATCCCCCACCCACCACTGTCTTTGCAAAGACAGTGGGGGATTGCTTGGGTCCCCCTTCTCTCCTTTGACCCTCGAAAATGTGCAAAATATATGATGTGACCCTCATATTGAAAAGTGTGGAGACCCCTGCTTTAGATGTATAGGAATAACTTCATCTATATACATAGGAATAATTTCTTTCTCTGATTTCCTCTTTTGTTGTCAATACACAGGCATACATAATGTCAGTTCCTTTATATGTGTATCCAGCCCACAAGCATTTGTACATGCAGGCATGTGCACACATGCACATACACACATACTCTATAGTCAGCCATTATTAAAGTGTGTAGAGCAAACACATTTTACTCTGCTGGTTTTAATAATGCCATAGTGGAAGGAGAAGAAAATTGAGTCCTCATAAACTGCAGATGAGAAGGCAAACTTGTTTATGAAATGTGTTGCTTCAGACTGTAGGTGAAAATCTGCAACCAACTACAAACAGATTTGGCTTATCTTTGCCATTACACTACATTTACTCTCTTAAGGTATGGATAACTTTATTGGTTTTGGTTGGTTGCAGAGAATCAGATCCTGAAGGCTTTCATCCTTGAAACTTATTGAGCCATTCATCCTATCAGTACATCGCTAGACTTTAGTCCATCTTTCTTCTATTTGTGAGAGCTGCTGGTTTCTCCCCTTTTGTGTCTCCCATTTACACAGACAGATACCTTAGTGTTGGAATGGAGCAGATGATAAATCTCTATCCAGGTGTTCCTGGATGAGATGGATTATCTAGTTCCATTTCAATCTGGCTTTAGACCTGGTTATGGGATGGAGACTGCTTTGGTCACCTTGGTGGATGACCTACATTCAGAACTGGACAGGAGGAGTGTGTTCCTGTTGGTTCTGTTTCAGTACCATCAGTTGTGGTATCCTTCTGGGCTTTCTCTCTGGAATGGGACTTGTTTGATGGTGGCTCCGGTCCTTCTTGGAGGAGAGGACTCAGAAGGTGGTGGTGGTGAACTCCTGTTTGACACTCTGGCCACAGTATCCGTCAGAGGTCTGTTTTGTCCCCTGTGCTATTTAACATCTACATGAAAATGCTGGGAAAGGTTGTCCAGAGTTTCTAGATTTGGTGTCACCAATATGCAGATGACAGCCAACTCTATCTCTCATTCATATCTAAATCTGAGGAAGTTGTTTCAGATCGATGTCTGGTATCAATAATGGACTGAATGAGGATTAATAAATTGAATCTTAATCCAGACAAGACTGAGGTGCTGCTAATCACTTTAAAGACAGATCAAAGAATAAAGATTCAGCCCATGCTGGATGGGGTTGCACTCCCCCTGAGAACACAGGTGTGCAGCTTGGATGGGCTCCTGGATTCATCTCTGAGCCTGGATGCCCAGATTTCGGCAGTGTCTAAGAGTGCCTTTGAGCAGTTAAAACTGGGGTGCCAGCTGCATTTCTTGAGAGGTATGACCTGGACATGGTAACACATGCCTTGGTTACATCTTAGCTGGACTACTGTAAGGTGCTCTACATGGGGCTGGTTTTGGAAAGTGTTCAGAAATGTTAGCAGGTTCAAAATGTGGCAGCCAGATTGTTAACTGGGGTTGGTTACAGGGATCACATAACCTCAATCCATTTTGGGGTGCAATTCAAAGTGCTGGTTTTAACCTACAAATCTCTAAATGGCTTGGGTCCAAGCTATCTTAAAGACCATATCTCCCATTGTGAGCCTTCCTCAGATGTTAAGACCATCAGGGGAGCCCTCTCATTCAGTCCCAGCACTCTCACAGATACATTGAGTGCGGACACAGGAGAGGGCCTTCTCTGTTGTTGTGCCCAGTTTGGAACTCCCTCCCACAGGAGGCCAGCCTGGCCCCACCTTTGCTGTCCTTCCACAAGCACGTGAAGACCTTTCTCTTCAGGTGGGCTTTCCCTCAATGGCTGTCTGTCTAAGTAGGGTCTTGAAATCACAATGAGTAGAATTTTGTTGTATTAATCTGTTTTAATAATGCTTTTATTTCACGTTTGAATATACAGTGGTCCCTCGCTTAACGAGCGCACCGTATAACAAAGAATCCGTATAGCGATCCCTTTTTGGGGATCGCTATACGGAGCTGCCCCAATCGCTGCACTCGCTTTGCGACGATTGGGGCGTCCGGCGGCCATTT